CTTCGCAAGGCGTGCCGCCTCACGTTCTGTTTCAAGTCGTGCCAACTCAAAACTTCAGCATGTATAGAGTCGTTTCAAAATCCTATATATTATCATCATCTTTCACTTCAACTGTTATTATACAGCATCAAAATCCATGCCGATTAGTATGGTCGTAGAGAACAGAGAAAGATAACACTTAGCAAAAAGATTTAAAATTGAAAAATATTATCTATTTTATGTTAATTTTATTAATTCTTATTATATACTATTATAAAAATTCCTCTAACTCCCGGGGGTTCTAAGCTATACTATACTGTAGATACTTAAAGTGAACGTCTGATTTTAAACTTTTTCCCATATGTGGGCAGTTCCAGAGTTGATCTTTTGGACTTCATGAATGTTGGGTTTTTAGGAAATCACTTAATTAATTATTATCAATATCCCTGGATTAATTTTATTAATATTTTTTTTATTTGCAGACAGTAAATGATAAACTTAAAATATATAACCTTGTCTAAACACCGGATTTATATTTTTGGACTCTTTTCCTCATTTAATTAATCCACACTTTTTTCCATATATATACATGGGGATCAATCTTTAATAGTTATATACTATAATCTACAACAATCTGTATAATGGTTATAATTCCGGATAAGTGGTATATTTCTCGCAGTTCTCTCCAACGTGTTGAAAAACTTTAATACATCTAAAGGGTTTTTGAATGGTATTTCTGTTGAACTATCTCGAAATCATGCATTTTTGTTGACGTATCGACACATAACAAGGATTGTCACCTTCGCAAGGCGTGCCGCCTCACGCTCTGTTTCAGGTCGTGCCAACCCAAAAATTCAGCATGGCAACAAAACTTGATGTACGCCAGTCAACATACATGCATATTTAATATATAAGATTGCTAAAATTTCTCTATACTTCGCAAGGCGGCACGCCTCACGTTCTGTTTCAAGTCGTGCCAACTCAAAACTTCAGCATGTATAGAGACATTTCAAAATCCTATATATTATCATCATCTTTCACTTCAACTGTTATTATACAGCATCAAAATCCATGCTGATTAGTATGGTTGTAGAGAACAGAGAAAGATAACACTTAGTAAAAAGGTTTAAAATTGAAAAATATTATCTATGTTATGTTAATTTTATTAATTCTTATTATATACTATTATAAAAATTCCTCTAACTCCCGGGGGTTCTAAGCTATACTATACAGTAGATACTTAAAGTGAATGTGTGATTTTAAACTCTTTCCCATATGTGGGCAGTTCCAGAGGTGATCTTTTGGACTTCATGAATGTTGGGTTTTTAGGGATTCACTAATTAGTCATTATTAATATTCCTGGATTAATTTTATTAATATTAATTTATTTGCAGACAGTAAATGATAATCTTAAAACATATACCTTATATAAACACCAGATTTTTATTTTTGGGACTCTTTTCCTCATTTAATATGTTTGTCTCTCTGTGTTTGTCTTGGGAAAACTTTCATCATTCCTGAAATTATATTGTATTTTTAGCTATAATTGTTGAACTTTAATGAGTTTGGGGCAGATAGAGAATGAAATTTGTTATATTGAGTCACTTTCCAGAGGGGAATTTGTCCACTAGCTATAGAAAATCCAGGGGACATATGCTTTGAAGCGAAGGTATTGAATCTATAATCTTTAATTAATTTGTAAGGTCGCAGACTCGCGGTGACAATTATGGTAGAATGCTTGCTTGCTTGAACCCAAAATGCACACATGCAACCGAATACAATATAAACGAAATTTACTTGGTATGACATGCAATCAACGAATTCTGTTGAAGTACTGTATATTGAAATATTGTTGACTTACGATTTTTTTAGTTTAATCGAGCCTATTTCTACATCTGGCTGAATCGTTAATAATCGATATAAAGGAAGTACTGTATAAAGCCGCTTTCTGCATAGATAGTACATGTATAAAATTATTGCAAAATATAGCAAGCAACATGTACAACGTTTTTTAGTGTGACCATGACCTTCAGGCAAGCACGCAACATATTTGGCATACCTAAACTAAAAGGCAAGCTCAAATTCCTTCGATACCCAGACAATACTGTACATATTACACAAAGAAGCCTTTGCACAACGACAACGTTTGCTTGTTGAATACGAGAAAGATTTCGTAACGTGTTTGACGCAAGCTTTGGTGTATACACTAGCTACTACAAGTATTAAATTATGTACCAGTGATAAAGGCGTGAAACAAATTTCCACTGATGCAAGTTGAAAGAGCGCCAAACGAGGCCGATTTACTTACATGCATTAATGTGTAGAATATACAGTATATCATCCAGCAATTTATATTTGCGCACCCTGTAAATAACGCAATAAACATACGATAATTAGTGTATTACGCGGCAGTTGGTTATAATTGCGTGAATGCGCACCAAGATATTTTGCAATTATATTTTATTTAGTTTGAACAAGAACGCAGACTGCAATTAATACATGGTATGTACTTTAATATAGATCCAATAATAGGAAGAGCAACATAAACAGTGGACAAAGTTAGACAACAGAACAAAATGGTTCTACGATTTAACGATTTAAGACATGACATCTTAGAGCCAAGTGTATGGGTAAACACGAATACATATTTATATTAAAAGCATAATTGAGCTTACCTTCTACAATCGTACTGAATCTTGATACAGTTCGTGTAACATAGCTTTTACTTTGACCTTTGAAGATATCCCAGACGCAAAGCGGAGAATGTTTATGTACTTCAGTACCGAACTGCTTCGAGCGAGATAGAGCACAATTATCAACCGTCTTTTAGTTTAGATCCATGTACTTTGCGCCAAAATTTCGCACCCTCTTATTGGTGTAAACTAGACACGTGGATAGGCATGTGCATGACATATTTTCAAATATCATGGTGCCTGGTACGGAAGGGTACGGATAAACTGGTGTCAAATTAAAACGCGAAATATGATTATAAAGCGTGGGAGTAAGGACGATATTAAACATAATTCAAACACTCGTAATTTATAAGTTTTTTGCAAATCATGTCAACCAAAATACGTGTATGTTACGTGAACTTGGTTTCATACCCATTGAAACAAAATATCTAATTAGTATACCCTACATACAAACACTAATGAGATGGCATGTAACGTATTATTTGAATTACAGCATACACTCTTAAACGTGCTTTAAATATTACACCCAATTAGCTATACTAAAGTCTACTATTTTAATTATGAAATAGTTTCATGAGCGAAAATTTATGAAAGCCATGATAACCAATGCCAACCTTGTCCATGAATACACGGAGCATTTTACGGAAACGTATGCAATAAATAGACGAGTAAATATATAAATACTGTATCCTAAACTTTGTATTACTGTGTGGTGGATGACAAAGTGGATGGGCTACATACCCCAGACAAGGATAGATTTACAGGGGGTGCCCACTCCCAAAGAGGGGTGAAAGGGGGATGCCAATTTTAATATCACACCCATTATTTCAATTCGGAAGGGCAATATCTTGTCACTAAATGTTACCACAATAATTCACCCTGGACCCTTCCAGCCCATTCCAGGGCAATGTTTCACCCATTCTACGGAACACTGTTGTTCATAGCTTCAAATGATTATGAACTTGGCCAACAGGTTGCACTCCAAATCATGACGATAGATCAATGAGCACACACATACCCTACCATCTGGCAGGCTCTATCCCTACCCCCAGATACCATGCATCATGTTTGTATGTACAGAATACTAGTTAGAATGATGTTTAGTTTCATCGGGTATGATTATGAAACCATTTCATGTAACATATTATGGTTGACATGATTTGCTAAAAAAACTTATGAATGAATTATGGTCATATGAATTATTTTCATGAAGTGAATTTGCCCTTGGAATTTAAAATTTAATAAATTAGAGAAAATCCTCACTGATTTCTTTCACCTTGGTAGACAACAGCTTACAGTAATTGAAACAAAATTGTAGGTTTTTAATTGTCGATTCAGAATAGATCGATTCTTTAACCAACTACAGGCATGTCCCAAGCTGGTACATATATTTTGTGCATTACAGTAGCCCTTGCTGATACATGTAGCCCTTGCTGATACATGTAGCCATCATTTCTATAAAGAAAATTTAAATATAAATTTAACACAAAATGGCTTTTTCTACTCCAGCCATAGATGTTTATGCTCCCAATACAATTAGGCAATCAGCTCTTGTCATTTATATTAGTGAAAACCATCTAACAAGTCTCTGCAGTTAAATGAACTTTTCTGAAGTGTCCAGTGCCATGGTAGGGAAAGCATTTCTTACCACATCTTTGTCATTAAGTCGACATGCATATTTTTGACCATGGCGAGTAAAATTGTCTGGTGATAGACAGGGTAAAATGATAGAGTAGGGTGCAAATACAACTTAATGGGATACTTTGTAGTCACATAGGCAGACAGGTCAATTAATTCATTGAGTGCCAGTGCTGTCTCCTTGACAAGTAAACTTGTCTGGTGCTAGACATTGCTAACTCAACCTCGTGTTTTAACAAGAACTATATTTTTAATATTCTGCATTTGTGCAAATAAACAAACTTATATACTTATAACTCCATGTAATGAAATGTAAATTGTATTCTATAAATATATTGGATTATTGGTCAACAGCAATATTAAATCAAAATTTAAATATTTTGGACAGTATTACTTGGACATTGTAAACATTCGGTTTATGTACCGTCTGACTGCCTGTCCTTCTTGATATAGCCTATTTTCTGTTGTATATTGACAATATTGTCGTATTTTCTTGACTCAATCGGTTGTCAAGAAATAATACTAACCTCTTTTAATAGCGCTTAAAGCAAGAGGGTATGACCAAATGAAACAAGAATACCAAATAGAAACCTTTTTGACAAGGCAAGATTAATTATATGGCCTAAACATTAGGAGTTGATATCGTGACAAGCGATTTACGGCTAGAACACGGCTTCATATAAACTGTCATTTGCCACTCTTAAGAATATTAAAACATGATTAAAGCAAAGCTTTAGTCGTTGAACTTAGGGTACAAAATGGCTCTTTAATTAACTTACCATGTAAAGCGTACTCTGATAAAGATTTCCTTCTCGGCGAACCATTCTACAATAAGCTCTTTGTGAAAATAGATTAAAATTGGCAATATTATACGACGCCATTTTGAAACATCGCGTGAACGGGAACTTTCAACAGAGTAAATATTACCCCGGCGAAATTTTACCCCGGATAAAAGAGCGCTTTACCCTTTTAAGGGGGTAAGTTTTACCCATCACGAGATTGGTGTAATTGTTACCCGAGATTGGTGTAATTGTTAACCATTGGTCAACCAATGGTGTAATTGTTACCCTAGATATAGGGTAATTTCTGCCCCATAGATTGTTACTCTCGCAGAGCGAGCAAATTTTGACCTTAACTGGGGTGAATTTTACCCTCTGAATTTTACTGTGTACTATGTATTTAACAGTTATTCTACGAACTCGAGTCGAATATGAGCTGATAGCCGATGAGGCGCGTAGCGCCGAATCGGCTATCGCTCATATTCGACGAGAGTGAGTGGAATAACCGTTTTATTATACATACATACATACATACATTATTGTGTTCCCTAAATAGGGATTTTCAACACTGATTTACAAAAAATAAATGTTGTTCTATTTACAAGTTTTAGAATCTAGAATTTAAATTAAGGTAAAAAGGTAAGACATTTGTATAAAGTTTAACAAGGTAAAATTATCTACTTATATATTTGTTCTAGCATGCTTCGCTTCAGTTCGTTTTTGAAAGTTTTTAGGGAGTCTAACTTTTTGTACTTTATGTCCAAATCATTCCAGAGTGTAACGCCTCTATAATGAAAGGACCTTTGACCTGCAGAAGTTTTGTACAATGGTATTTGCAGTGAGTCATGGCTACGTGTATCTCGTTGATGAATGGCAGAACGTTTTGTGAATAAATCGCTCAAATAATGTGGAGCAAGTTCATTGACACATTTGTACATCATAATAGCCTCTCTTAGTAGTAATTGTTCCTTTACTGGGAGCCAGTTAAGTTCGCGTAAGCCCGGCGAATATTAAAGTTTGGTTGTTTGTGATTGGTTAACCGCACTGGGTCACAAGTGGATTAACATTGGGGGCGGAGAAAATGACAGAAAGAGTGTAAACCTCGCCAAATCTTAAATCGTTGTTTGAAGAGAAAGCAAAATTACCCAATCTCCTCGACAAAAAAGAGTTTAACGACAGAGCGATTTATCCGATTCGTCCCAAACTTGACCACAATGTTAATCAATAATAAAGGAACAAAAGCGTGTTCGCGTTTTCGATTTAGTGCATTATTTTTCAATTTAGAAGCATCTCTTTAACCGCTTATACCCGCGCAAGATAAGTCAAGTTGTCTGCTTTATATCAAAGCGAATACAATAGCTGTCAAAAAATGCGAACACACTTTTCTTCTTTGGACATTTGACACGAGAAATATGATATTTTGGGAGCTCCTGAGTTAAATGGTCTGTCGTTAAATCTCGTGGCGCAAGAGATGCTATTTTTCAAAAGATGTCTCATTGCGACTACAGGTTGAAAGGTGGTGAATTTTGGTTAAAACAATAGCTTCTACAGTTAGTTATTATTGCATGTACCAAATTTGAGAAACCTAACTAAAAAATTAGCACGCAGTGATAATTTTTCTGAAACAGGGATCTATCTTATGATGTAACCTTAATTCACTGGCGGAAGCATATGCAATAGCTTCAACTTAACGTAAACCTTGATATTAAATCGTAAGCGCTAGCATAATCATCCACCTAAGCCTCATCAATTTTAAAAATTTTAACCGAAAATATTTAAACCCTTTTCATTCTGTGAAATAAAATAAAATAAGTTTTTAAAGCTAAATAATAAAATATTTTGTCTTTTAATTAATTGAAGGACTTTAAGAAGTTGTAACATTTTCACCGAAATTCATATGCCACCCCACTTTTTCCTTTCACGGGTGTAAATAGCCGAGTGGAATGAGTATATACCCTCGCCACTGGCTTTGCCCTATGAACCCCACGCGTGGTTCGAGGATTAACACGAAAATTTGTCGAGCTAATGGCCATAGGCCAAGGACAAATTGATTCAATTTTGATGAGAAATTAACAAAAGTTTATGTTCCTTGTCCGGCAGAGAAACTGGATGCGCAGTTAGTCCATCTGTTCATTGCATAATCTATGCATGACACTAACATTATGTATAATTTATGCATGATATTTTGATTTAATTATAGTTAGTATAATTGCATAGGTGATTATTGAAAATTCTCCACGCTGATTGGTTGCCGTTGAGGTGATTATTACGCGATAATCACCTAAGCGATTTTCAAAATGGCGGCCGAAGCCTTTTTGTCAATTAAATGACGAAGAAATGTGTATTTTCTTATTTTTTTCCAAATAATCACGTATGAAATTATACTAAAACAATTATTCACCTCAGGCTCGGTGATTATCGTGAATAAAAACCTCGACTTCGTCTCGGTTTTTATTCACCGATAATCACCTCGCCTTCGGCGAATAATTGTTAATTAATCTTAAATAGTTAATCTTAAACATAATCATTCACCTAACTCTAATCTATTTCAAAAATTTAATTTATAATTTTTAAACTTTGTTGAACAGTGTAATAGCGTAGCCTGCGTGCAGGCCCAAGGGAACTGATAGTGGGCCTGCAACCATCGCCCGGTATTTTGTAAAACGCCCCTTTTCATAACACGCCCCATTCGCGCGTCAATTGTCAAAAAAGAACCAATGACAGCACCCAAATATTAACAAACAAACTCGCGTTAAAATGTTGCGGGGTTTTCTCTGCTTATTCAGAACACTAATAAACAATGTGTAAATGGCTGCGTTTTAACTCCAAAAAAGCAAGCAACGCAGTCAGTAATTGCCAAATTTGCAAGTGCTCATTTTCAACTAAAATCGGAACAGGCAAATTAGGACGAATTTCAACAGAAAACCAGTCTCAAACTTCAAATCATGAGGGAAGTCGTGCGACCACATTAGGATTTATATTATGTGTGCTTCGCTGTCGCCATTGGCATTGTTATAAATAAATTGTCTCACTTATCAGATCGTGTGTGCAATTCTTGTTGGCGGCGGAAAGTACGAAATTTATTTCATTTATTTCATTTGGTAAAGAACTCTACAAAAGAAGAGAGCGTTCCGAGTCCAGATCGTTTCGTTTCAAACGGCAATTTAATACCGCCTTCTGTTTCGCTCTCTCAGCGAAGCCTTGTTAATCGCAAAGTGTTTCGAATAGGCTTACAGTCCTTACATGCAACTGCATCTCAACATCAACCAAAAGATAATTTTCTTGAGGAAGTGAGAACACATAACGTATCAACTGAAGTCTGTTTGAAATTAATGAAACTCAAGTAAAGGTTACTATAGTTTACCCCAGTCGTAATTTGCTATTCCAACACCTCACGACAAGCAATCCCCATTGGCATAACGGCAAAAACATGTCTTCCTTCAAGTAAACAATAAACAGTCTGTTCTTGTTCCATTTGTAATCGAAAAAAGTGATCAATTTTCAAATTTTAAGCTTATCGGGAGCCTTTGTCTATGCCTTTGTGATGAATCACTGTTCCCTTGGGCCTGCACGCTAGGTTAATTAATTACCGATCGCCTCAGCTAGCCAATGGGAATTTAGCCGGCGGTTCGGCCAGCGAATATCGAAAACATGGGGTGATGGTTGCAGGCCCACTATCAGTTCCCTTGGGCCTGCACGCAGGCTATGTAATAGCGAAGAGAATACCTCTAAATACTCTATTCTTTCCCATCGGGGATCAACCACACAATATATGACAACATATTGGGCAACAAGAACTTTCCCACGAGAATGTTAACCAACCAATGTTGGTAGCCGTGTTTTTTTCTTGAATCTCTAAAAACTTTGAAATAAAATACTTAAACTCTCTATACATTCGTTGAGTATAAAGTATAAGTATTTTTCTAGGAGGCGGGCATCTATTTATTATTAAATTTGACAGATGCATAATTATGCAATATAACATGACAATAATTCTTGAAGTGTGTTGCTCGCGTAGTGCCTGGCAAAGAGAATGCTTCGAACTCTTGGTGTGCAAGTCACATCATCGCCGCCATGTTGGATGAATTTGACAAAGTATTTCCTTTTTTGAAACAGTGCATGAGCTCTATACTATGATCTGGAGCAAGAACTTCAGTCATTCGGCTTATGAGAAAAGTGAACCCAAGATGGCGGAAATTGACTTCCAATAGCTATGAAGGTCGTAAACAGTTTTAATACCATTTATCTCCAGCTAATTTCAGCTTTTTTTCTTACGGACTGTATCGCTAAACAAGTTATCAGTTCATAAAACCATAGTGTTATTCTTTAAATTGATGTCAAAATATGAAATTTCGGCACACTCCTTGCCAGCTTCGAGTTAACCGCGAAGACAAAAACAATAGAAAGGGACTGGAACTGACGTCCAATAGCTCTAATTCAATTTCCGCCATCTTGGCTTCACTTTTTGGACACGAGTTCTCGCTCCAGATATATATGGCGCTCGATCACCGGTTTGAAATTCAAATTCTATCCAAGATGATCTTAATCCCTTGAAATTGGTTGCACTTGCAAACCACCAATAGGATGTTCTAAATCACTATCGTAAATGCTAGAATGATAGAATGTATTAATTTAATTTACGGCCCGAGTTACACGATACAGGATTCATGTACTTGGTACAACATGAACATATACGCCGCTCAGGAATAATGTCCTCTCATAAAATTTCCCCCATATGAGTCCAAATGCATTGACGTAATTATCATCGCAAAAGTTGGAAAGGAAGATAGTTCGTTTTACGATCTTGAAGAATTAACATCAACGAAGAAGTCAGTTCAGGATAAAAATATTAAAGCGTGATATATAATCTATATAACCTATAGCTATCAATGTGCGTATAACACACACAATCATTATATAACCTATCAATGTTTGTATAAGTATAATAAAGTTAATTAAACGTTGCCTATACACGTATTGGTGAACCTATAACTGGCAAAATGTAACCTGTATGGCACAGTACTCTTTATATACTCTCCCACGCCCTCGGGATCAACAATACAAAATATAGAGAAAATGTTCTACAATGCCAGATGTACGCAATAATTCAGTTAGTAAAGCGTCGTCGGAAAGCGTTTACTATCTTTATTCCTTCTCGACGCAGGACTGAATTTCTCCAGAAAAATATCAAACAGTTGAATGTCGAGTTTAAACAAGCAAACGTGGCTGCCCACAGAGTAAATAACAAAAATTGCCTCTCAGACAATAGCGTTTCTGATGCGAAACGTAAAGCTGCATATATAATGTACGGGCAGAAACAGCAGAAAAAACAGCCAACCGCCAAAGAAGATGTGCGAATACTTTTGAGATTTAAGATTCGTGTTTTCCTATTTTCATCCATCGACATTCCTGTAGTTGGAACAACCCTTTCGTCCTCGCGTTTTGACTTTGCGATTTTAAAAATTTTGTAATTTCCATAAATGAACAAAAACAGGAGGGATAAAACAATTACAGATGCGAAAATATCGCCAATTGTTTCCGAAACAAAAAATACCAAGACCCATAGTCCGACTACAATAACCGTCAAAAATGCCTGAAAAGATAGAAGCCTTGTTTTTGTGACTGATGCTTGATGGAAAAATGGACACGTTAGGGCTAGGAATCGTTCAACATTCAGCGTAAAAAGTGCAAACATCGAGGAACCACATACGACAAAAGATATGGATTGCATTGTGGCCTTGCGCACTTCACTAATGTCTTCTTGGGAAAAATAAATTGTAGCTACGATCAAGAATGGATGGGTGATGGTGACTACAGCCAGATCAAAACAAGATAATACAAGAATCATAAAGTAGCATTGTTTCTTTCGGAGTTGTGACGACCTCCATAGACTGATTATAACCACAGAATTTAGGAATATTCCTGCAACCATAAATATTATATTTATAATGTACAGAAATACAACGCTAATAATATAATCACTCTTTTGCATATTGAAAAGACTTGTCTTCGATGCACAATAACTGTGTTCTGTTCTTCCTATAATATATGGCCTTATATAGCTGCTGCATGGAATAATTTCGAAGACACTCATGTATCACATGTTGTTATATACGTATGTTTAAAGCTAAATAATACAATATTTTGTCGTTTTGAAGGACTTTAAGAAGTATAAGGCGTCTTTTTGAAGGGTTCTGTTCAATTTTTGAGCGAGAATTATATACATATATTTTAGACATGACCGGAAGTGTAACTGCGACCACGGTGTTGCCACGTGGCACACCACATTTTCCTTTTCCCGGGTGTAAATCGCCGTGCGGAATTAGTATACCTTCGCCCTATTAGCCCCACGCGTGGTTCGGGGATTAACACGAAAATTAATCGTCGAGCTAATGGCCATAGGCCAAGGACAAATTGATTAAACTTTCGTTCAATTTGGATGGGAAACTAACAAAAGTTTGCCTTGCTTTCCTGGGCAGGGTAAACTGAATCCATAATTAGTCCACTCTATCCATTGCATAATTTATGCACGACATTAATCATATGTATATGTATAATTTATGCACGTTCGAGGAGTGTCATGGTAGAGCCATTGAAGTATTGAACTATAAGTAAACTGGAAGGCTAACTCCTATGATGAAGACTTATGATTCGTTGAAGCCTGCGCGCGGGAAAATCAGCTTTCAAAAGGACTAAGGAGAGTTTCGAGGAGTGAAAAAAATTCGGTCAAAAGTTTGTTTTCGAGCAAAAATGTGCAAGAAATACACTTTTTCCATGGGAATACAACAATGATTAGGATTCAAACCAGGTTTTCCGATTAGTTCCAACTGTTTTACATCTCTCTGCACCAAAAACTAAGGAGTCTTGCGCGCTGTCTGGAAATTGTGACATATCTCTCTCGGGAACACTTCCTCCTATTAACATTGTATATTTGAATAATTCAGTTAGTAACGTGTCGTCGGAAAGCGTTTACTATCTTTATTCCTTCTCGACGCAGAACTGAATTTCTCCAGAAAAATATCACACAGTTGAATGTCGAGTTTAAAGAGGCAAACGTGCTTGACCACAGACTAAATAACAAAAATTGCCTCTCAGACAATAGCGTTTCTGATGCTAAACGTAAAACTGAATATATAATGTACGGGCAGAAACAACAGAAAAAACAGGCGACTGCCAAAGAACACGTAGAAATACTTTTGAGATTTAAGATTCGTGTTTTCCTATTTTCACACACCGACGTTGCTGTATTTGAAACAACCCTTTCGTCCTCGCGTGACTTCGCGATTTTAAACATTTTGTAATTTGAATAAATGATCAAGAACAGGAGAGATAAAACAATTACAGTTGCATAAATATCGGCAATTATCTCCGAAATAATAAAAAATACCAATTGCGGTGGAATTACGAATAGTATAACCGTCCAAAATGCCTGAAAACATATAAGTCTTGTTTTTGTGACTGATGCTTGATGGAAAAATGGACACGTGAGGGCTAGGAATCGTTCAACATTCAGCGTCAAAAGCGCAATTAACGAGGAACCATACACAACAAAAGATATGGATTTCCTTGTGTCCTCGCGTATCTTATTAATTTCTCCTTGAGAGAAATATATTGTAGATACGACCAAGAATGGTTGAGCGATCGTGACCACAGCCAGATCAAAACAAGATAATACAAGAATCATAAAGTAGCACAGTTTCTTTCGAAGTTGTGACGACCTCCACAGACTGATTATAACCACAGAATTGAGGAATATTCCCGCAACCAAAAAGATTAGATTTATAATGCACACAAATACGACGCTAAAAATATCACTTTTTGGCATATTGAAGACTTGTCATGCATGGATGCACATTACTGTCTGTTTCTTCTTATAATTGTATATTGCCGTATATATACATTCGATTTGAATATTTTAGAAGACACTCGTGTATCACCTGTTCTCATATACACATGCATGCATGTTTAAAGCAAAATAGTGACATATTTTGTCGTTGTGAAGGACTTTAGTAAGTGTAGAGCGTGGATGGTTTTCGTTAATGCAAATTTTGAGCGAAAATTGTATACGTATTTTAAACCTGACCGCGAGAGCAGGTTATTTATTTGTTTGTTTGTTTGTTTGTTTGTTTGTTTGTTTGTTTGTTTGTTTGTTTGTTTGTTTGTTTGTTTGTTTGTTTGTTTGTTTGTTTGTTTGTTTGTTTATTTGTTTATTTGGTTTGGTTTTTTGTTTTTTGGTGTTTTGGGGTTTGGTTTTTTTTTTTGTTTTTTTTTTCTTTGTTTATTTATTTGTTTGTTTATTAAAAATTACCCTATTAAAGAGGTATCTGTATTAAGCCTGGTTCACATTGATCGGCGATGTTCTACGGTCCATTGTCTGTGAGCAACGAAGAAGAAAATGAACAAAACATTTTATGCATCAATGACCACCGACAATGGGCATCGGCGATGTTTACGATCAATGTGAACCAGGCTTTAGAGAGGTGACCGTATTAGAATGGTGTCCGTAAGGAAAGGTTCAATTGTATATTTATAAATAATTGTATTTAATTCATTTAATGAGAACCTGAAATCCGTACCACTAAAAATAAATACCGTTATATAATGTACTGTTATATATTTATGTGCTTGTATATGTTACTTGTTATCGTAATATTAATTCGCTTATTCAAATTGTCACTTTCTAACCGTTCATGCATGTCTTCTTGTATCTTTGTGATGTATCCGTTAAGGAAATTAAAGCAATTAAACATATTGTATCATTTTAATGGTCCAGCATTCAACTGATCTTGTACATGCCTGAATCTTCCCTTTTTTCCAAGCAGTATATTCTGGTAAAACCTTTGCCGTATCAGTAACGCAAAACCACGCAAGGGGTTGTCTAATCTACATTATTACGTTATTTGTCTTTATTGACATCTTACAGTATATCGGCCTATTAATTTTGCAAAAACTCTATCTAATACGGTTTGAGAAATCTTGCTCACAGAATTGCAGCCCGAAAAGTTTGAAAAATTTTAAATGCAATTTTCACCCAAATAGACCTGTTTGAGTCATGCTGTCACTCTTAAATACCAGAAATGAAAAAAGTATACAAATTTTAGTGACTATATATTTTACTTCACTAGCGTGATAACAGAATACAAATTTTAGTGACTATATACACTACTTCACTAGCGTGATAACAGAAAACTTAACAAGGAATGCAAGGGAGTCTCCAAATTTTGTGTACTAATAAATTTTGACATGCTATTCACAGAGTGCTAACATCAAATTTTCGACTCAAAAAGCGTGATAAAGGTCTATTAAACCAAACCTTTACCGATTTATCTTTGGGCTTGGCCTACGCCACGGTCATTAGCCATGCCATTTATGAATAATCCTGGTATAACAGACAAACAAACACCCACGAACAAACAAACAATCAAAGCTGAGGTGAATTGAAAACATAAACATCTGGAAAAGCTAGAACTAATCATACAAGATTTGACACGAAACTTCTCTTGATTAATAATATATTCTCTCGACTTCCCTAGGTGCCAATAACAATCTTGCAGTAACCCTAGGGTTCGCGTCAGTGCAACGATTCCCATTGTGGAAGGTTCCAATCTACATATTATCACAAATGTTGGGAGGAATTATATCTGCTGCTTTTGTTTATGCCATATATCACGGTATGTACTGTATGAAATACGTCTCGATATATAACACCGAGCAGGGGGCATGATGACCAAGGGGACACCCCCCCCCCCGCGTTGTAACAACGAAAGCCTGGTAAAACTAGAATTTTAATGGTGAGGGATTCAACTACCTGAAAAATACAAGCAAAATTTCGACGTTTCGAGCGAAGACCTTCTTCGGGAAGTTAGAGAGTTGTCTGCATTAGAGAGGTGTCCGTATTAGAAAGATGCCGGTATTAGAGAGATGTCAGTATTAGAGAGGTATCCATATTAGAGAGATGTCTGTATTAGAGAGGTGTCCATATAACAAAAGTGGTACCAACTTCCCGATTTTCACTATTTAAATGTCATGGTTCGAGGTCCAAAATTGCGTTGCGAATTGCAGCAAAAAATTGCCTCTTGTAACACGGCTTTTACTATATTGAGTCAACATTGTTGACACACTAAATTCGCATCCCATATATTATTTCTCAAAATGCGCCCTCCAGGCCAAATGGTTAACGTTTGTGCCATTACTATTCAAAATATTGCTTAAGTATCGTTAACACAACGTATTACGTCATTATTTAGATGCAATTGAGGAGTATGATGACGGAACTCGACAGGTTCTCGGCCCGAAAGGCACGGCGGGAATATTTGCAACATACCCGCACGAATTTGTCAGCAACATGACAGGCTTTTGGGACCAGGTATTTGAGATCAATAATTTTAATAGAATAGCTTCAGTAAATGATTTTCTAGATACGAAACCTTTTATCATCTTACAAGAAGGTTTAAGGAGTTTGGAATGTATTTCTTATTAAACTTCATCTTGTCTTTATAATATGGTACCAAGCCGGTATGGTTAAGCGAGATTCCGCTTGTATTATCTGCAGTCTTGGTTATCTGCAGTATTTCCAATATCAACGGAACTATCCAGGCTGCATGCCCCACCTAACCTAGTCGAGTGTTGATGTTTTGTTCACACAATATAATATTGCATGAAAATGGCATTTTCTGCATGGAAAGATTTCGATCCCCAAAGTACTCTATGATTGTCTTTGTGGCTTATGACAGTGAAAGTCCAAACCAGAAGATGAAAGCCGAAGTGACTGATAGACCTTTATAATTTCAGACCTTTATAATTTGTGCACGAATATATCTTTCTTTGACCTTGGCCGCAATCACAATCCTATCCCAACCCTATGTTGATCGAAGCACAAGAATAAAACCTAACTTTATAAAAACCCTAACAATTTTACACATATTTCTGTGTGCAGCCTTATTTATCTATTAATAAAACCGGGAATGCTTCTTTTCCCTTGAAAAAAAGTGTCTTGTTTTCACGTGGTCTTGTTTTCACGTGAAAACATTTAAGAATGCATGTGACTGCATTCTTAGACGTCGTGAAATCGATATCGTGAGAATGGCGATATCTGATTGGTCCGCGAGAAGTCATGCCAAGAAGGCATTCCTCCACGCATGTAAACGCCACAAAATACCTAACGCCACATCCCAGTGGGATTTACTAGGTATCGTTGTGTGAAATTATACTCTGATGAAGCACCTGTTATGCATGTTACTAGAAATTTAATTTGCACCCTACACCTCTTCAAGTATGGCTGCCACTCAGAAGGTCACCTGCGTTTGGCTTATAACAGAAAATTTTAATTTTCAGAAAAATTAAGTTTGCATGTTTTGGCAAATTTGCGCAATTTTCTCACATTATTTTATTTAGCTATTTTATTTATTTGTTTGTTTACTCATATTTACTTATCTACTAACTTTGCAAATATAAGTTTGTATATTATCCAGTATTATTTATATACAGTACGTAAAACAATTATTAAAAAATGTCCGTGCAATATTTTTCATTTTATAGAACTGACAACATCTTTTTGGGCAAGCTAAGAATACATGGTCAAACGAAATTGAATCTATTTCTTGACGTGTAATGTAAACTGTTGATGATATATTTTCATATGAAAAATTCTATGTACTTTTAAGAAGATTTTATACATTCAAGAATAAAATGAGCATTTCATATACATTCGTGATTATTTTGTATATTTTCAAAACCCCTATAAAATAATTGGTGAAATGTGTTATACTACTATATTTAATTTACCCTTTTTCAAATTTGCCATTAGAAATAACCTACTTCGAACCGCTTGTCCCAAAGCTGCATGAGTGGGAAAAGTCTATGAATGTAAACATTTATATAATTCATGCATGAGCATCATGAATATGACCATTCTTATAAATCTTACCTATTGACTAAAATATTGCATGATTAATAATAAATAAGAAATAATAATAATGATTACTAAAATACTAGAATATTACAACAGCTAAAGTTCGGAAAACATATTTTTTGTTCCTTCTTAATTCAGAAGTAATCAGAAAGCATTTCTCTTATAGCCTGAGAAATCGCACTGCAATTTTCGTGGTAGTATACATCCATATACGATTTGCAACGACTTCTCACATTTTAACCTTCAGCTACAGACCGACTTCAAGGCATATAATTTTTAGTTTTAAATTCCAAAATCTTCAAATTTTTGTATGAACCCAGATTTGACTAGAACTATGTTTCCACTCAACGCAATTGAACTTACGTGACCACCATATTCAATCTCTATGCGATCTTCTTAGCAGAGGCAAATATCGTGAACACTGCACAGCCAATGATGCACACTCCAGCTACAACGTTGAAATATAGAGGCCAGCTTTGAGAGGTGGTTAAGACTTGACCAGAAAAATATATAGCACCAAACACTGTGAGGGAAAGAAGATAAACACATTAGGGTTGAAAACACCAGAAGAGCGATAAAACAAATGGTCAATACCCAGCTCGGTGTATCCCCTCCCTCCCCTTTCTACCCCACCAAGTTGTCTATCTATATACATCGATCAGTTATATTTTGACTTCAGCCTACAAATCTATCCGTCCAGCATTTTTTTTTGCATAAAAGTGCATTTTTGGAAAGAACGTCATTGTTTGCGAGTATATTACTGTATATCAATCAGTATTATTATACAGGGTTCGTAGACCTTCGTAAGTTCAAAAATGCAGGACATTTTTCAGGGGTATTCGAAATATGAGAAAAGTAATTTCGCCAAAGTTCAAATGCTGTATGCGCAAGAAAGTTTGGTAATCAATCGTATTGAAACAGAAAGTTTATCAGTTATCCTCTAAGTTATCAGGTCCGAGATCTATATCCTTTCAATTTGTAGATTAACTCTTTAAGCGACAATGCTCTCTCAAATGCGCCTTACTTTATTTAACGTTGTCCAACGACAGACGACTTGACTGGTCATGGGAGAGTGCTGGCACACCCTGTGAGTTAATCAGACTATCAGCCCGTGCGTCTTTTAAGGAACAGCAGGGCTAGCACTGAATGGGTTAATTTATTTTTAACAAAACTTCGGTTGATGGGGATGCAATTACCTGACAAATACAAGGAGAACTTCGACGTGTCGAACGAAGGCCCTTCATTGGGAAGTTAATAGCCTCTATACTTACTTCCCGACGAAGGTCCCTCACTCGAAACGTCGAAATTCCCTTTTATACAATAACGTTAAAAATTCAAGCGCCTTCATTGGTCGAGAGCCATGATCTATTAGAGGACAGACGCACGGAGTAGACAACTTGCATGTTAGACTAATTTTTGATCTGGGCAAAAAAGCAAATTCCCGCAAAGAACGTATTAAAATTAGTAAAATTGCAAAATTTGGTTACGAAATGTTGTAAAATACGGAAAATATAGCCTTGTGAAGTTTGCATATTTTGTATATGTTTTTGTATTTGTGCGGAAATTGTTACCATTTTTGAGCCGAAACTGGTAACATTTTCCGCACGTAATACAAACATATACAAAATTTGCGAACTTTGCAAGACTATATTTTCCAAGCTTTACAACATTTCGCAACCAAATTTTGCAATTTTACTAATTTCATTATGTTCTTTTTAGCTGTGGTGTTTGATCCCCTTCTCTTTACTTAGACTAAAATTTAGTCTAACATGCAAGTTGTCCAATTACGTCACACAAAACTCTTTGTTCTGTGCAGCCAATCACAACACAGCATGGACCTAAGGTAGCGAATAGCATTCCCTTATTTGTATAGATCATGTACGCGTGATATTTGTAAAATTTCGATTTTTTCAAATTTCTAAATGTTTGGGTGGATAAAAAGTAAGCTATTTACCTGTTTAATTCGGGGGTTTTCTGTATATTATATAAAACAAATAGATAAGATTTTGCCGTTGTCTGTTTAGTTATAGATATACAGTATGACATCATAATGTGGAAAGAACAAAAAAGTGACCCACTCGCATCGGCGGCTCGTGCCCACTTTTCTGTTCTTCCCACATTATGACGTCATACTGTGTATGATCTATAACTGAACAAACAACGGCAAAACCTTATCTATTTGTTAAGTATTTTTCAGGTAGTTGCATCTCTATCAACCGAAGTATTGTTACTATTGGCACTACCTACAGCAGCATAGACCATCACATAAAATAAATTCCTTGATTCTCATTACCGCCCGACTGTATTTTAAGAGCCGCGTTTGTTATACAATATAAATGTACCGCCCGACAAAATATTTCAAGAAAGTTAAGTTTTTTATATTTTATATATATTGGGTTTTTAGTGCCATTTTAAACTGCCAATTTCAAACAAACAGAACCTTCAAAAAAATTTCATTGCACTTTAAAGGAACTTCACATTCAGTTCAAGGGTTCAGTCATTGTTCGTGGAGATTACGTTGGAGATGACAGAAATGTGCAATGTAATAAGTTTATTTCGGTTTGTGACACTTCACTTTGGAAATCATAGAAATATTAAATGTTAGGAATTATTTTTTTATTTATTGATATATAAATTATGTAAATATAACATATAAACCTCCCGCCTCTTCGACATTTTCAAAGTGTAGTGATGAGAATTATTTATATTAAGTGGCCTCATTTGTCTCATGTTATTTATAATCTGTACGTTTACTGACCATGCACGTCATCGCTGAAGTCTATACCTACCAGAAAATGTTGAAACAGTATTTGAGAACCCAGCCACGGATCCAGCATAATCAGGCGCGATGTCTTGTGGCATAACCATTGCGCCAGCATTATGAAATCCAGTCATGCCAATCGCAAACGTCATGAGCAGCAGGGCGGGTGGAAATGATTCACTATGACTTAGTAAAATTAATGAAAAAGCTGCACCAAGTTGAGCCAGTACCTGTGTTAAAAACCATTGTTATAAAAAAGTTATTACAGCAATTAGCACTACCACCACCACCACCACCACCAGTTCCGATATTCTCAAATGTTAATTACACTTTTTTTCTGTGTTGGTGTTGTGTACTCAGGTGAATATGATGTTTGTGATGTTACTCTGAGTGTATATCCACACCGGGCGAGCTTGAAAAATATGCCCGGCCACGGTGGGAATCGAACCTACGACCTTTGGAATACTAGCCCAATGCTCTACCAACTGAGCTACGCGGTCAGGTCGGTTCGAGTAAGTGATATTTCGGAACAGAATCTAGTTCCTTCGATGCCAATGTAATGAACAATTGATGGTTATTAAAACATTAGGATAATCGCTTTTAGCAATGCCTGGAAGCCAGCCAAACTGGCACATATTATAAATACTGTCAAGAATTATAAATATTCATGAACGTAGTATATGCCCTGCATGCATGACAAACAAAAACAAAAATTGCACTTACATTGAAAAATTTTCTTACGCAAGTAAGTGAGTAACCTACAAAAAAAGACATAAAAATAGACATCACTGGCTTCTGTTTGCTCGTTTTAGCGTATACTACTAGTTGCCTCGAAATCCTTTGTCTCGCAAGGTACGATTAATCACTAATTTACCTCATTACTAAAACATGGAGTAAAATTAGAACTAATTTTTACCACGGGCAAAATTAGAACTAATTTTGCCCGTGGTAAAATTAGTTCTAATTTTCCCCTGCATGCTTGATGAGGGATATTTAGAAGACAAAAGCGTACCTCATTACCTCTGATTGGAGAGCTGTACCTCATCGAAAATCATCGGCACAACTATGGACAGTATCTGACGACACCGTCCCGTACGCATTCGAACAATCACTTTGCCAGCTTTTATTCCCTAATCTTGAACATTTCAATTGTGGGAGAAAATTCCGTTTATGCGCATGCCTAAAACGAATGAACACGGAGATGTGTTTCTGCGCGTGCGTATATATGAAAAGTGTTCGTACCACAATCATAAGACAATCAAACGGCATTCAAAACAGGCAACACACCACGCGCGATTCCCTCGGCAACTATGATATTACAAAGTAATAGCATGGCATTACGGTCGATTAGTGATGAAATGTACCCGAAAGCCGAGAGAGGTTTAGTAAAAGTTACTAAACCTCTCTCGGCTTTCGGGTGGTACATTTAATCGTGAAATTGTGCATACCATTATGTTGTGACATTAAAGCTAAATCTATCAATTGGGCTAATCGTACCGTTCTGTATGTTTGTATATGCTATGGCAGGCAGGCTCGTAGGCCCCTCCTTTCTGGTCGAGAAGGGCACTATTCCCTGGAAGAAGTTTCTGCTCCTAACTGAAGTTCTTGCTCCAGTATATATATAGAGGTCACTGGTAGGAAGTGACTTGGTGTTAATATCTCACGAAGTGTAATTCGTTGTTTTAGGAAGAAAATTACGAAGATCCGAACCAGATTTCAGGTTATTATTACTCTATACGCTGTTGCCAGGTTGAGCATTTTTGAATGAAACTCATTAAAGTAATTTGTTTCAATGTACTGTAAATGCTCTATTATGCCCACCTCTCTATTAGGCCCACCTCTCGGATACCTCCACCTCTCCATTAGACCCCCTCTCGAATACCTCCACCTCTCCATTAGGCCCCCTCTCGGATACCTCCACCTCTCCATTAGGCCCCCTCTCGGATACCTCCACCTCTCTATTAGGCCCCCTCTTGGATACCTCCATCTCTCTATTAGGCCCACCTCTCAACTAACCCCCACCTCTCCATTTAACCCCTCTAAAGTAAACCCTGCCCTCTCTACAATAAACACCCTGCTCAAACATGCCTGAAATGCTGAAATAAACAAGCCACCGGGATGGGGCTAGACAGAGGATTTTCAATATAATTTTGATTTATTTCAGGTGATCAAGCTGATTCAGACGAGGTACTTACTATAAGGATAATTTAATTTTGCCACAGATATCAGTAGTATACAAGTTGTTTCATAATGATAATATAGTTACTTTTAAATAGTCAATATGTACATCACCACAAAGTAGATTAGTGGCAAGGAGGCATCCGGAAACCATAGGGCTTGTAAATAGGATGTCTCCTTGGAGCAGTAGTACACACGTAAAAATCTCACATCTTGTAACAAGTCTGCCAACAAGTCGTCAACAAGTTGTGTTCGCACTGCTTCTCCCAAGTTGTCAACAAGTTTGGAACAAGCTGTTAACAACTTGTAACAAAAGCTTGTTGATATTATCATACTTGTTGCGAGGTTGTTCCAACAGGTCCGATACAGTCATGATATAACAATATTGTTACAACCGTGTAACAGTCTTGTTATATCATGACTGTATCAAACTTGTTCGAATAACCTTGTAACAAGTCTGATAATGCCATCAAGTTTGTTACAAGTTGTTAACAGCTTGTTCCAAACTTGTTACAAAAACTGGGAACAAGCAGTGCGAACACAACTTGTCGACAGCTTGTGAACAGATTTGTAACAACTTGTTTGCAGACCTGTAACAACTTGTGCGTTTTTACGTGTGTAGTACTGTATATTGTTATAACTTGTTATAAATAAAGTGCGGAGGTAAAGGGTCTAGCCAGTTGTGAGGTTGATCCTTGCCTAGTTTCAAGATTTTCTCAGACTTATTTTCTTATTTAGTTTGAACAAGAAGATTATGAGATCCCAGATACATCAGAACTACCAAAGAAAGGTCAGTCTTCAATTTCTTCTCGTACACACGCAAAAATCTTACATCTTGTAGCAAGTCTGCGAACAAGTCGTCAACAAGTTGTGTTCGCGCTGCTTGTCCCAAGTTTTCAACAAATTTGGAACAAGTTGTTAACAACTTGTAACAACCTTGTTGCTATTATCAGACTAGCTTATTGCAAGATTGTTCCAACAAGTCCGATATAGTCATCATATAACAATATTGTTGCAACTTTGTGTGGTCAACCTTGTAACATTCTAACTTGTTATATCATGACTGTTTCAGACTTGTTAGAACAACCTTGTAACAAGTCTGATAATGCCATCAAGCTGTTACAAGTTGTTAACAGCTTGTTCCAAACTTACATGTATTACAACAACTAGGAACAAGCCGTGCGAACACAACTTGTCGATAGCTTGTGAACAGATTTGTAAGAACTTGTTTGCAGACCTATAACAACCTGTGCGTTCTTACATGTTTACAAGTCTTACAAAGGAAAAATAACAAATTGTCTTTCTGACTGTCTTGTCGTGTGAAGCAATGTGTATGAGATTTCATTACGAGATAAATCCTGAAGTACAAGATTAATCCAAGATTGCATACAAGATAAATCCGGAAGTAATCATAGTGGTTACAGTCTTACAAGATTAGAAGCAAATTTCCTACTGAAGGCTATATATGAATATTATTGACAATTAAAACTTGTTCCGCTGTAATTTACGTATCGAGTTAGTAGATGAATTAGGTATTCAATCGTTTCAATGATCAGATATTTAGTAATTCAGATATTCAATCAGTCTAATCTTCAGGGGCCGGTTGTTCAAAGGTGCGTCAGCGCTAACCCATGGTTTATTTAAATTTAACCCACTGTTTTAAGCCCCGTTTACACTACGCTCAATTTTTGGTACGGCACGGATAAAATTGGTACCCGTACCACTTTTTTGGTTCTTGGACTACCTATTTAGCTAAGCCCCGTTTACACTACGCTCAATTTTTGGTACCGTACCACTTTTTGGTTCTTGGACTACCTAAATAGGTAGTCCAAGAACCAAAAAAGTGGTACGGGTACCAATTTTATCCGTGCCGTACCAAAAATTGAGCGTAGTGTAAACGGGGCTTTAGTTTGTGTATTTCTGCACGTCTGTTTATTTCAAAACTTCAGAGAAGTAATCTCCTACTGATCCAGACAAGATTTCTGAAGAAATATTTCCAAATTTATAGACAAGCTGTCAGGAAGTTTGCTTTAAATTTTAGGTTAACCTAGCGTTAAGCTAACCCAGCTTTGAACAACTGGCCCCAGAATAATCTATCAAACATAAAAATTGTCTCTGATTGCTATCCTAACGTCTGATCGTAACTAATGATGGGCGATACTGATACAAAATATCGATACCGACGATACTTTCAAAAGTATCGATAATTCGATACACTTGAGCCTGCGGTGTTTTTGATCAGTATCTGTGAACAATAGATTAATACTTCATGCATGATACAGAGTTTTGTGAACTCGTGTTGTCGCTTTTTTCAAGTTTGAAAGCTTTTCTCTTTCTTAAAAAATGAGATTAAAGATTGAAAAGGTTATATGCAGTTGTCCTGATGGACCACCACTTAACATGTTATACTTGGTTATACGTTATGTAAAAAATGATCAGTGTAAAAGTATCGGTATCGATTTTGGTATCGGTATCGACCAAAATTCTTGGTATCGGCCTGATATCGTATCGAACACAAATAGGCTGGTATCGCCCATCCCTAATTTATTCGTAACCCTTACCCTAACACTAAAGTCGCTAAACCTAGCTTTAATCCTAACTTCACCCTTGTTAAATCATTACGAGACAGTTATATAAAAAGTCACTCTATCTTACAGCACCACAGGAAACGCCCAAGAAATCCCATTTTAATCCCAAAAACATATTCAATCGCAGTCCATCAAAAAAAGGCCTTCCTAGCGTTCCATCAAAAGGGGATAAAAAGAAGACAACTAAAAAGGAAGTTCCACCTGCACCTCTAGCAACACCCGCCCCACCCGTACCTGAGAATAAACTCTCCCCGTCCAGACAGCTTCCTAACCCTGGAGGGAAGGGCATTATTGGTAAATTGCGGGGGGAGAAAGCTGATAAGCGACATTCAATGGGATCATTGCCCAGTTTACCAACGGATAAAGTGGATTCAAAAACGAAAAAGTATGTTTTTTTATGTTTTTGTTATCGTTTTGTTTGAAGATTCACAGTTAGACCTGGTTTCCATTTAACACGGTTGTGAAAATATGATGGTGGACGATCTAATCAAGTAGAAAGTTGGAAAATGTTGACAATTTTAGTAGCAAGCAAATCAAACTAAATATCTTAATTCTTTTTATTCACTCCCATCATATACAAGACGGTTATATACATGATGTTATATATTACGTTTATCCCTTTACTTTTTTCATACCAATAAAGATCAGGCTTTTAGTTGTCGAATGCTACCTTTCTTGTATCAGTGCGATCAAAAATAGCCAAATACGATCCAATTTAAAAGTTCCAGTCGAAATCGCATTTTTCTATACCGTTGGGAATGGACCTATTCCCTAATGGGCAAAATTTTGATCTAGACAAGTCTAGATAAAAATTTCATCACAGCTTGAAAGAGCATCACAAAATTAGTAATATTCCGACGTTTCGTTGCGAAATGTTGTAAAATGCGGATAATATAGCCTTGCGAAATTTGCAAATTTTCAGTCATTTTGTATTACGCACGTGAAATTGATACCGCTTTCTGAAAAAAGGTATCAATTTCCCGCGCGTAATACAAAATCGCAGGGCTATATTATCCGCACTTTACAACATTTCGCAACGAAACTTATAATAATACGGAGTATTACTAATTTTGTGATGCTCTTTCAAGCTGTGATGAAATTTTTGTCTAGACTTGTCTAGATCAAACTTTTGTTCATTAGGTAATAGGTCCATTGCATGTAAAGCTATTGTCTTACGCCCGTATTCTAAAAGCTCACTCACACTCAATGAGTGGAAGTTCGATCTGAGCTTCTCTCGAGTGTCATTTCTGTTTTTGAATATGACTACTCACCCTCCACCTATTCGAAAACAACATTGACACTCAAGAGAAACTCAGATTGAACCTCCACTCATTGAGTGTGAGTGAGCTTTTAGAATGCAGGCGTAAGTATTGAAATTATTCTCATTTGGGATTCAAATTGAAGTCCCTTGGGTAAATATGGCGCAACGCGCCAACACATGTGTAAGCATCAAGTTTTTATATACTTTTACTCGCCATTTTACATCGAAATTGAGTGGCTAAAACATTTTGCAACATTGGAAGCTTGTAGACTGGACTCACAATGAAACACGTTTCCAAAATGCCGGACAACAAACATTTGGGAAAATGTTCGAATCGTTTCATAAAGGTGTCATTTCACAGCCAAAAATCCTGATCTTTATACGGCCAATTCAAAAAAGGACCTTGAACCTATAAACTCTAAGCGCGTAAAGCTTAATAGGAGCACAAGTTTCAAGCTTAGTAGCAGAATATTGCAGCTATTTGTGAATGAATTGTTCTCGTAAGGTGATATTTACCATGTCTTTAAGAAATGGGCCCCATATATAAATGATTTCTAAACTGATTATAAATGATGCTCACATTATGCTGTGCGCGCTTAGAGTTTTTAGAGTTTAAGGTTTTTCAAAGGACAGCCTTTTTTGAATTAGCTGTATATACGAAAAAGAGAATGTATTGACGTATTAATTAACGGACGATAACCTATACTTATTATTAGCACGACAAAATTACTGGATGCTGATTGGTTGAGAGGAGTACAATTATTTCATTAATTGTACTGCAGTACAATTAATGATTTTCCCACAACAAACAAAATGGCGGAAAGTATTTTAAACACAAGCGTGAAATGAAATTGCCCTAGAGGAACTAGATGAAAATACGAACAAAAGCACCAAACTTTGCTTTAACAAAAGAACTAAATGAAAATACGGACAAAAGCACCAAATTTTGGTTGAAAATCTGGCACGACTGGACTTTGGCGAGAGAATTATGATGTTAGAAGTATCCGATTTTGTCATGCTATAATAATAAACAAGTAATCATGCGATGTTGCTCGTACAATTCTGGATTATAATAGTACTCGTGATGTTTGGAAATTTGCCAAATTGGACTCGCCCCGGCGGCTCGTCCAATTTTGGCAAAATTTCCAAACATCACTCGTACTAATAATCCCTAATTGTACTCGCCATCGCATGATTACCTATACAAAGTTGGCTACCTTTTTTTATACACCCTGTATTAATAAAAAAAATTAACATTATTTATTTCCTCAATCTGAAAACTGCCTATATTGACTATCACCTGCTGGCTGCTGCACCCACCCATTGGACTAAATATATATTTTAAAACATTCTCTTTTAAACAGTCAAGGAAGTGAGTCGCCAAAGCTGCCTCCTAAACCTCTGCCTGTAAAACCTCTGCCTGAAAAACCTGCTCCAAAAGAGGTTAGTTTATCACTGAATGTTGTGGCAGCTGCGTTGAACAGCTTTCACGATGTTGATTGATGGATGCAAGTCAAACTGAAAAGTAGTAAAGTACGAACAAACTTGCACGTTTTGAGTGAATACCCTTCGTATGGAAGTTAGATTAAGATGGGCACGAAACGTGGACAGGGGCCGCGGAACCGGGGGGCAATGGGGGCATATGCCCCCCCCCCCAACTTTTTTAAAAGTGAAAAAAGTTCCGTTTTTCTGGGCTAAAGTGGCCCATTTAAAGAACGAAAAAAGTATTTCTTGATTGAACGCCCTCTTTTGCTGGAAAGTGCCCTTTTCGCAGTATTAAAGACTCTGTAAAGGCCATATCCGACGTTATTGAGACTCCATATTTTCAAAAATTTTCGTTCGGCTCATGAACGACATAAAATCGGTTAATTTTGGTTATACAGCTTTTTTATAAATTAGCTTTTTTATAAATTTGGTTATACAGCTTTTTTATTAATTATACAGCTAGAAAATTAATAATCTTTTTAGCGATTCCCAGCAGCCTTTCACGCTTGTATTCCACTTTTACCGAAGACAACCTTAATTGAAATAGCTGTATACAAAAGTGCCCCTTCTGGCCAATGCCCCTCCACTTTCGAAGTGCTTCCGCGGCCTCTGAACGTGGAAGTATTTTCTGTATTTTTGGGTACATGCATTCGTCAACTAGTAGCGTGAACGCAGTCTAAAGGGTACGGGCAACAACATTTTTTGATTTCCTTTATTTAGAGACCTGTTGCAAATCAACAACAGAAGCCAGGTTTGAACATCGTAATTCATTCGTTTGTTGAAGGAAGGGATATTAGGGAGTTTGGCAACCTAGAACAACGGGGAAAATATAATTCTCAAATTCATTAATAATTCATGAGTAATTCAGCCAATGATATATAATCACCTATTTGATCACAAGATGCCATTTGGATACTTGATGAAAGTCACTAGTGTTTTCATCAAATATCTTAATTACGCATGCAAAATTACTTGAATAGAATTCCTTATTACGTTATGCTTGGTTAAGAATTCTATTCAAATCAGCAAACGAAAACATTCTGTTACGTCTCGATTCAGGTCTCGATTCATTTGAGAAGCCATATAAACAACTCGAGCTCGTGTCTCACCGGGATATCCAAACACTCGAAAACAATGTATGAAAACACTCGCGCTTCGCGCTCGTGTTCTCATACATTGTTTTCTCGTGTTTGGATATCCTGGTGAAACACGCGCTCTCGTTGTTCATATATTACTTATATAATAACTACAGTGAAACACGCAATTTGATTGGTCAATAGCCGTGCAGGATCAGGCTATCCTGCACGAGGAATTAAAATGCCTTCGCGGGATTTTCGCGGGATTCTCAAAATGTCATTGTTTCACTGTAGTTATTTTATAAAACAATTACCAAATGGTTTTCCAAGCAGGATAGCGTGATCCATGCACTTGGGATGTTGCTCGACTTTCGGAAAGCATAAAAATACACTCGCCTGCGGCTCGAGTATTTTTACGCTTTCCGAAAGTCTCGCGACATCCCTCGTGCATGGATCACGCAATCCTGCACGGAAAACCATTCGGTATTCCTTTATTGCTTATATTGTTGTATTTGAGCCAAATTATACGTTACTACACTTAATTTGCCTCTTTAAGTATTCCTGTTTGTCTCAAACAGGCCTTAAGTAAAAATAGTCCGCGAATTCAAAATAGTCCGCGAATTCAAATAATACACCATCAAATAATACACCTCAAATAACACCGTGAAAATGATGCAAATCACGTGCTAGTTTCAACAGCTACGGCATTGCACAACGCTTAAGACCATGTAATTTACATTCGCTTTTGTCTTTGAGGATCAATGCTATTGTTGATGACCACGTTGCCGTTGTACTTGCCAAACTCCCTATTTGCAAATAGTCCAAACACGGGACAGAAGGCGGGGTGTGATTTTGATGTATTGAAATAAGTCATCCAGGAAATCAAATGGCGTTTAAACAAACTGAGATGTTTGAAATGTCAAGGCTTCATTTAAATCAGCCTTTTGACTCATGTAGATGAGCCTGAATAAATATACTGTTTTTCATTTCAATATTTTTATGCATCAGAATCATTCTGCTTCACATCTCATCCCGGGGGAAAATGGGATCCGATAAACGCAGCGATAATTCAATATGATATAAAATTTGAATATTATTTATTTAGAACCACCAAGCAAACAGCCTCAAAAGGTAAGCTAAAGCTAAGCTTCCATATTGGTATTTGTCGGGACGATTTTAGATCTATTATGATGAAGCAAATGAGATAAATTGTTAGCACAGTTTTCCAGGGCTATAACCAATAATATATGAACATCATGGAAACACAGGTCTCCATATATAGTCTCTTGAAACTTTGCAGTATCCTTGGGATCTCTGAGTTTTGTTACTGTAAATTAGCGTTAGACATGCCCCCAGCCCCAGGTAACCATACTCCCACAAGTTCTATGCTATAATGAAAGAAAGATATTCTGTATGGTATTTACTCTTTGACTAGAGGATCCTCACATAGCACATGCGCAGAACAGATTTGACCTCATCTTTAAGTTAGAACGTAGTTGGAACGAGTTGGAACACTCATCAAACTTTTATTTTGTTGATCTAGAACTTGATATGTTCCCAGTAACAATTTTTGACTGCCTGCATCTTTCATCAACTTCCATCCTCGTTTGACCATGGCATACCCATATCTATGGGCGTACCTCGCACATACATGTACTCATAGTTGATAGAATAGATGGTTTCGAAACTCATTAGAATAACAATATAACTCATTATCTATGTTAGTCAACGTTTATTCATAAGTATGGTCCTTCACCGTCACGTGTGTATTGTATTTTTGCCAAATCCACCAATAGCAATTTCCAATTTACCTTATTGTTCGAGTCGCGGATAGGTAACTTTCCTAAAACATTGCTATTGGTTAGTTGGGTAAAAATACAATACACACGTGACGGCGAAGGACTAGATTTATGAATAAACGTTGACTAACATAGATAATATTATATTGTTATTCTGATGAGTTTCCAAACCATCTATTCTATACTAACTATGATGTACTATAGTGACATATCACCCCATGACACCATAATTATTCAGAACATACAATGTATTACACGAGGTATTGTATTTATTTAGTCAAAAACCCAACTGCTTCAACATCAACCATGGTTCCATGGCTCGACTTCAAAAACTGTTGTCGCTGATATATTGAAAAGTACGAAAAAGGTAAAGTCACTTACAACGGTTGTATATATGCAGGGTGTATAAAAAAGGTAATTCAACATTGGCATGTTTTCGTGCATTACATATTACGGTTATCCATCAACTTTTTTCATACCAATAAAGATCATGCTTTTAGCTGTCGAATGCTACATTTCTTGTATCATTGCGATCAAAGATAGCCTAATGTGATCCGGTTTAAAAATGCAAAAAAAAATCACATTCGAAATCACATTTTTCCACCGTTGAGAATTGCATGTAAACTCCTATTGTCTGAGTATTGAAATTACCTCATTTGGGATTCAAATTTAAGTCACTTGAATGAAGATGGCGCAACGCGTGGTAAGCATCAAGTTTTGGTAAATTTCCACTCGCAATTTTGCACCGAAATCGAGTGGTTAGAACATTTTACAAAACTGGACGTTTGTAGACTGAACTCGCAATGCCATACGTTTCCCAACAAGCATTTGGGCAAATGTTCGAACATTTGAAGAACATTTAAATCATAAATGTGAAAAAATACGATTTCAACCAATGATTCGATAAGGATATCATTTGACAGCTAAAAGCCTGATCTTTATACGGGAACAGAAGACGTATCCTTGAGATAGACGGTTGAAGTGGAGAACAGATGTATCTACGTGTTTGAAAGCTTTTGTTTAAAATTTCCATAACATCTGCCTTATTCCGAACAGACAAAAAGTCTTTTTTACGCTGTAACTCAACGTTAGATACAAGAAAGCCTACTTTTAGCATAGCAAATAATATTTTATTATTTTATTTTATTTTATTTTACAAGATTCGCCAAACATAACAGACATAAATAAGACTAATACTTTACAAAGTTTACATACAATTCGGGCAGGGACTAGCCACAGAGATAATCTCCAATTATGGGGTCCCTTACAATATGTTACAATATATATACATTAAAACAAATTATGGTTTATGCTAAAATGTCAACAACATATCCTCACTAATAAGCTATCAAGAGACCGAGTTGAGTGGCATTTGACGCACACTGCATGACTTAAGTGTTCTATAGGATTGTCTGGGTTGTTCTAAAAGGTTTAAGTAGTAATTGAATAAAGTAAGCTAATGATCTTGAAGTGTCACGAATATTGCTATTGGGAGAATGTTCCATACGCTAGTCGCTCTCACATGGAAATTGTTCTTGTAGCTAACTGTCCTGCATCGAGATACATTAAGAAGAATACCATTGACAGGGTCAGCGTTTCTAGTCGTCCGTGTGGTTGTTCGTATTGACACATTGACATCGTTGCTTAGAATACTCTTTATATATATAGCTACATGGTTCCCTAAGGTATTAGGTATATAACATACCTATCACACTGCAATACTTCACAGTATGGTCCGCCTCACATACCTGTGAAGACCTAAGAAACACCCACAAAGGGTACACAACACAAAATACATGGCTATAACGTGTCGTTAAGTGTTTGTTGTGAATGATTGTTATGCTTGTTTCCATATAGTTGTAACTAAGTTAATTTCGTACCCAGGGATCGTACAGTTTCTATTTCCATTAAAAAGTAACCGTTTAGTCACGATAGAACTCGAGCCTATCTCGACGACACTCAACTGTCGTGAACTGTTGCCTGGGCGTGTCACGACAAGACGTTTCTTCACGTTTCCATTTCGTCGCGAACATGTTTACAACAGTTACGACGATATGGAAACCAGGCTTGATAAGAAAGTTGCACAACGCAACATTGACATGTGCACATTCGCCAGAATCTACTGCACGATTGTGCTTACGTGTAAAACCCAGTTATACCGACATCTTTTTCTCTAGGATGGCGCTTACCTTGTGAGAAATAGCTCCAGAGATCCGGGACAAAGTACCATGTCAATTTTGTACAAAGGTGAAATCAGACATTTAAAGTAAGTACTGTTTAAGAAATGGCGTGCTCACTCCTGTTCGTCAGGGGAGGCCAGCTGAAAATTTGTGTCGATGGGGGGAATATTTTCCAAACATCCTATAAGACAATTTAATGCGCACCACTCTTTCCTTCACTCATTTGGTCGATTTTTAAGTGGAATTGACAATTTTGGTTTCATTTCATGCACTTTCGGCGCCCCTTAATAGCTTTTGGACACCTTAGAATCCCCCGGGAGGTGACCCCCTAGTCCCCCCGCCAACACGCCACTGTGTTGAAGAAGTGTTGTATCAATGTTTTTCCTCTATACCAAGTGTGATCCACAACATCAAACTTTGTAATGATTCAAGTTTAAATTTGATCTTCACAATGTTGTATTCGAGTATTACCGTTGTAAGATAAAAGTTTAATTTAGCTCCTTCGACTCTTAAAGTACTCATGTCAGAAACTAGGTTTTCTTGTTTTTATAATCCATTCACTCTGTCTGTAGTTAACTAGAAAATGGAATTGAATTTGAGCATTTCGCTACTACGGAAATAATTGAAAACCGGAAGGAACTCATTCCGAAAATGTCTTCCTAATGACATTGTGACACAAACTCGGGCAACACACGTATTTCTTATCTTTTTATTTTGTTCTTTGCAGCATGCCTTGTGATACAAACGGACACTATCGTTTGGGCGACAGTGGTGTAGAGGTGCGGTATTATTTTCAATATAAACATTCAGTGGCATGTATCCGCCTCGTGAATCGTGACGTCACGAAGTTGATTAACCTGCAAATCAACGGCCACCTGCCGAGTAAAGGCCCTAGGTCTAGGCTGAAGTGACCCAACTACAATTTTTACATAACCCTTTGCATGTCACAAATATGTCAAAACAATAGAGAGGTTCAGATTTGACAACTACCTCTGAATGGTCAATCGGCTAAATTAAATACATCTGATTGGTTAATGGTAACAGTAGTGGAAGTGGAGATAAAATCTAAACCTCTCTAAAGGCAGATTTCCAGTCCTCGCACGAAGGTCCTCGCAGCTCGCTGCGAGTGCATGCATGAGCACTTACATCCAATCACAATGCTAAACAGGTATTTGTTGTGTTGGTGTAGTGTACTCAGGTGAATAAGATGCTTGTGATGTTACTCTGAGTGTGTATCCACACCGGGCAATTGAAAAATATTCCCATCGTGGCCAGGCATATTTTTTTCAAGCCTGCCCGGTGTGGATACACACTCAGAGTAACATCACAAGCAAGCTAAACAGGTAATTTTAATTAGATGCAAGCACTCGCAGCGAGCTGCGAGGAGCTTCGTGCGAGGACTGGAAGTCCGCCTTTACGGGGTGACTTGATGGTATGGACAATAGTGCGATATTCACAACAATGAGAAGTCAAATGCTTCATTGTTATGCTATACAGGGTGTCCCAAAAAAAACGAAAACTATTGAAATCACTTATTGTTAAATTTGAATGCCCTACCAAGTACCAAACAGCTGGACGTAATGATGCGTAAAATATTCACAAGGTGCATCTATTAGAATTTAGTTAGGAATATCTCCTGGTAAAGTGCGCGATTTTCTGCTCCTGGGAATTAAAAACAGCTTTCTAACAATTAAATTGTTATTGGTGATTTCAATAGTTTTCGGGTTTTTTGGGACACCTGTATTGAAATAACGTATTGTTAGAATTTGAATGTCTCAGCACTCTGCTGAACTCACAAGTGCATAAAAGCTTGACATAAGTAAATTTTATGCATAAAGAAACTGTTTAAGAAGCTTCTTTAAATCCCCAAGAGCAGAAAATCGTGCGCTTTACAAAGATATTTTAATTTTTAATAAGTCAATATTTATAATATATGCACCCTGTCAATATTTTACACATCTTTGCGTTCAGCTTAGTGCTAAGACATTCAAATTCTAACTATACGTTATTTCAATAGTTTGGGGTTTGGGGGACACCCTGTATAAGGTCCCATTAACCCACTCCGAATTTTAGGTTTTTAATGAGATTGTTCCCATCCTTTGATTGTATCAAAATTTCATTTTCTATATAGAGATTCAAAAATATTGAAGAATTGGTGACGTATTTTACCAAACACGATGTGGAGTTTAGTGCTGGGGGTAAGACACACCTGACACACGCCTGTAGGAAATCGTCGTAAATACCGCCACAACATGTTACACGAGGTAATTTTTGATGCATGCGATGCAATTTCCGACCAAGAGCCATGTTAGGTAAAATTATTCGTAGTCACAGGGTCTACCATTTTTAGGTCTCAGAACTACCCATTTTACATTTAGAACTACCAATTTTGGAAAATGGGAGGCCTTAGGCTTAAGATGACCCATGCGTAGTCGTGGAGAAAATTGTAAGACGTGTAGCTTAGTTTTACTCCTCTCACATTTTCTCTAGGGACCGGTCATTATTTGTGTCGGGGGGCGTGGCACCGAAGAGAAATGTTTTTCTTCGTAAAAAATTTGCTGATCCAACCATTAAAAAGTCAAAATCTTTTTTACCCAACCTCAAATACCAATGGAAAAACAAATACCCCACCCCTGGACAAAAACTTTACAAAAGGATACCATTCAGTTGTCACACATGTCCCTTACCACTTCTTCTGTGATATGAGTTTGATAACTGCTTGTGCAACTTTCTGCAGTCTAAAGACGTAAAGTTTCATGTTGTCTGCACATGTACTTTCTTTGGAGACACCATTTGCCTCCTGAGAAATAGGAAAATGATCACGATAGTGACTCTGATTGATTTACATATTGTATTGACATATGACTGTTGACTGCTTTTTAGCGCCTTCAATATTTGAGTGAGTCATGCTTTGGAAATGATCGACAGTTGAGTTGTTTTGTTTTTCATTTACCCAACCTTTTACAAACTCAAAATTTTGCTTACCCAACCTTTTTCTCTTCGGTGCTACTCCCCGCCATAAATAATGACCGGATCTTTAATTATCATGCCCAAGAGGCAACAAAGAAATGTTTAATGAATGAGAACGAAAAACATTTGCAAACATTATCTGCGAGTCTACGTGACATGGTGCAAAAAATTGTCTCATGTAACATGGCCACTAGTACCTGAATGGAAAACGTCTCGTGAAAACGGCAAGTTTGAACATAAAAAATGGACAAGGGAAAAAGAAAAAATGGAGCCAAGGAATAATAAAAGAACGTACTATGTACGGTCAAGCTTAGTATTGCAATACATTATTGCATACAATTACAGGCAAGTTATATAAACAAGGCAATTTCTCCTGGAACGCAATTTTCAACACAGAGCAATGTTATTTAAAAGTACTCGCAACTTTAATGTTGGCCCGTTTCTAAAGACCATAAAGGGGTGAACGTCAGTATTTAATATGTTCATTATAAGATTAGTAAATTTAAGACAGGTTTTCATAAAAAAAATTAATTGCTTTAGTTTGGTACAAGTGCCATTGGATGTATAGCACATATAAATAGGTAATGGTCAGACGCTCAAATCATCTGCGATGTATTTTATCTGAACACAACATAAAAAGGCAATGGTCCTTTAAGTACAGGCTTTCTGAATGACAGGCTTTTGTGTAAAACACATTTGAATCTTTATTTTTGTAGTAATATCAGCTTTATAATTTTATACAATGAACATTTATTTTTGCTTGCCAAATTATACAATATATTGCTGTAAATAACATAAAATATAACATCATGACAGACAAAATATAATAAATAATGAACAATTTTTTAAATTTTTACATGTAATGAAACTCATTTTTGAACATCTTCTGTAGCGAACTTTATCTCTCTTTATACAGGGTGTATCAAAAAAAGCGCAATCCTCGACTGAAATGTAAATTGCTAAACAAATAATAGACGAAAACGCTAAAGTTTACATTCATTTAAAGCGTAGCCATTCAGCTTTCTAACAGTGGTTTGTTTCTTAAATTTGACTTATTGGTTCGCGGGTAATAATTCTTCACGTTATTGCGATTGGAGATTAAAAAAATTGAGATGGAATAACAAATCGTTCTTATGAAAATAACTGTTTTTTCATTAAAACAAAAAAATGTTGCATTTTATTAAATGGACTGTAACAATAAGTATTATTACGGCTTTTCTTCCACTATTTTTAACTCAGTTTGAAACTTCAAATGCGATATAATTTTGGCTTGGACCATCTAAGCTGACTGACATCAACTTGCTATAATTTCTGTTTACATTACATCGCATTTCGATGACACTCTGGCTCAGACACCAGAATGTTTTGACGATTTTTAGCATTCGTTTAGGATTTTCAAACAACCTGGTCTCTTTTAAAATACTTCTAATTTGTTCTTACGTGGTTTTCCAGATGTAGTAACGACAACATTAAAGTTTAAAGAAGAAAATTCTAGCATTTAAACCGACTAAACAATAACATAGTAAACTTGCATAATTAAACAGCAACTAAAAATGATAGGTTTTACTAAATCTTTTCCTGTGCAATTATTACTAGCATTGGA